TAAGCAGCTCATGCAGCTTAATAACAAAAAAACAAACAACCCAATCCAAAAATGGGCAGAAGACCTAAATAGACATTTCTCCAAAGAAGATATACAGAGTGCCAACAAACACATGAGAGAATGCTCAACATCACTAATCATTAGAGAAATGCAAATCAAAACTACAATGAGATATCATCTCACACCAGTCAGAATGGCTATCATCAAAAAATCTAGAAACAATAAATGCTGGAGAGGGTGTGGAGAAAAGGGAACCCTCTTACACTGTTGGTGGGAATGTAAATTGATACAGCCACTGTGGAGAACAGTATGGAGGTTCCTTAAAAAGCTACAAATAGAACTACCATATGACCCAGCAATCCCACTACTGGGCATATACCCTGAGAAAACCATAATTCAAAAAGAGTCATGTACCAAAATGTTCATTGCAGCTCTATTTACAATAGCCAGGAGATGGAAACAACCTAAGTGTCCATCATCGGATGAATGGATAAAGAAGATGTGGCACATATATACAATGGAATATTACTCATCCATAAAAAGAGACGAAATTGAGCTATTTGTAATGAGGTGGATAGACCTAGAGTCTGTCATACAGAGTGAAGTAAGTCAGAAAGAGAGAGACAAATACCGTATGCTAACACATATATATGGAATTTAAAAAAAAAAAATGTCATGAAAAACCTAGGGGTGAAACAGGAATAAAGACACAGACTTACTAGAGAATGGACTTGAGGCTATGGGGAGGGGGAAGTGTAAACGGTGACAAAGCGATAAAGAGGCATGGACATATATACACTACCAAATGTAAGGTAGATAGCTAGTGGGAAGCAGCCGCATAGCACAGGGAGATCAGCTCGGTGCTTTGTGACCGCCTGGAGGGGTGGGATAGGGAGGGTGGAAGGGAGGGAGACGCAAGCGGGAAGAGATATGGGAACATATGTATATATATAACTGATTCATTTTGTTGTGAAGCTGAAACTAACATACCATTGTAAAGCAATTATACTCCAATAAAGATGTTAAAAAAAAAAAAAAAAAAATCCAACTGCCTCTCCTGTCATGGAGCCTCCAACAGACCAATGGTGTGCTTGGGACTTTGCGTTGGAAAGGAGAGGTCCGTGCTTCAGGACAGACAGTTTAATTTGGTGCGGGAGACACTGTTGTCAGCTTCCTAATGGGCCATAACCAGGACACGTGGTTCCTCCCCTATCAGTAGAAAACATGTCGCGGGTGGGATCCCGGGAAGGCGACGTCTTGTGCGCTGCCACCGCGTCATCCCCCTTCCCGCCTCATGGTCCTGGCAGCTACATTCTCCTTTTTTTTTTAAACATTCTTTTTACATTTTACTTTTTCCAGTTGCACGAAGCCGGCTAGTGGCCAAAACAACATAAAACATTTAAACAAAAGTGTAAAACAAAACGTTGAACGACCCACATCTCGTGCCTGTACCTACGCTGGTGAATGTGGGTCCAGGGCACTGGGAGGGCTTGGGTCTGAGGGACCTATTGCAGCATCACCGGTTTCTGGTTGATGGTTGCGTCCCATAGAAATGCAGGGTAGCTGAAGAGAAGAGCTCCGAGCACAGAGCCACGTGGACGTCCTGGACGTCCCTTTAGGACAGAGCAGTGATGGCGTGGGCTGCGGTGCTGGCTGTGTGTCCGGTAACCGCGGGCCCTGCTGTTCCTCTGAGCCTGCCCTCTCCGGCAGCCTTTGGGAAGGCAGGAGACCTCTACTGTGCACACCTCTACTGTGTGACCGATTGCCAGACCTCATGAGGTGCGTTGTGTCATGTAACTTCCCCTGGAAGCGTGGGTATCATTACCTCTGTTTTCATAGATGAACTGAGTGAGACTCAGAGAAATTAAACGGCGGGCCCCGGTTAGGAGTGGCGGGGTCAGAATTTAAATTCCTGCTGGGCCGACTCCAAAGCAGACGCTCAGGGAGGCCTGGAAGAGTGAAGAGGGGGCAGAACTGGCGGAAATCGGAGGGCTTGTTCCTATTCATTTATCAAGTAGTCATGAAGTCCTGCTGTGCCCGGAGGGAGCGAGGGGCTGGGATGGATGGGGCGATGAGGGTGTGCTCAGGGTAGGAGGTAGACCAGTAATCCAAAGGAGCAGCTCCGCAGAGATGAGGAAACTGCGGAGGACGGAGACCAGGAGGCGGACACGGTAACCGTGGTCACGTCTCCAGGGCGATGGCCGCTCCCTTCACGGCCTCCCAGTCTCTCTGCCTGTTTTCAGGCTCCTGGCAGGGCTTCCTACTGAGAGGCTAAGTCCTGCAGCTCAGACGCCCTCCTGTCCCCTGCGACTCCCAGGGACAGTCATCGGTCCCGTGAAGGGGGAGAGCCCGCACGGCGCAGGTCTGATGCCGGGAGCTCTGCTTCCCAGTCTCCTCGTCCCAGCCCGTCTGTCACAGGCCTGTCATCAGATGTCATCCCGTCATCAGACATCCTTTACTGCTCCCCTGCTGTGCCCCCGACTCCTGGAGACCCCGGAGGTCAGGAAAGAAAGGGTGGTCTTCAAAGAGCTAGACCTCTGGCCTCAGATTCCGAAATCATTAGAGAACAGTGAAGTACTGAACATAATGTAATAAATCACGTGCACTACGGTGTTCTAGATGGCAGTGCACTAGCTGATAAACGTGCTACACGTAAAGACAAGCGTCATTTCCGGGGCACCTGCCATGTGCCGGACGTGTCCTCTTATTCCACCCTCCCAAGAAACTTCAGAGACAGATAACGTCACCCCAGCCATTCATCCCTTATGTGGGTACTCACTGAGCACCTCCTGGGTGCCAGGCACTGCCATTGGTGCTGGGGACAAGGCAATAAATGGGGCCTCGGTCCCTGTCCCCAAGGAGTCCTGCGTCTTGTAAATAAGACAGTCATCAAGGAAACAGTTAATTACAAATTGTGATGGAGGACACGAGGAAGTGAACGGGGTGTAGGGGACGGTGGGCAGGGGACAGGCATCGCCTGGAGCTGGTGAAGCTGACACCTGCAGGACGAGAACGCTACGGCCACTTCTCAGTTCTGAGCGCCGGCTGTGGGCCAGACTCCCCCCCGCCCGTCTCCCCGAACTCATCCCAGCAACAGCCTCACGGTGTGGGCGCTGCTATCAGCCCGGATGGGGAGACGGGGGGAGACGGAGGCCGGGGGAGGAAAGACGTGGTTACCTCCGCCATTCATGAAATCCCTCCTAGGAAGCTGGGGACAGATGGGAACTTGTCTGTTTAACTGAATAAAGATGTCACCCAAAAACCACATCGTCCTTCAGGGTGGGACCTTGGAAGCGTCTCCACTAAAGCCAGGCCCGAGGCAGGGCTGCCCGTCACCGCTGCTCCTGCTGTGGAATCGGGGCGCCGATGGACTAGCAAGCAGCAGGGTGCAGTCGGCTCTGGGGGGCTGGGAAGCAACAGCATCCCTCGAGGTGTCGGCTCACAGAGAGCCGCTGCCGTCAGTCTTACGCGGGAGGCGATTTGAAAACAGAGGTAGAGAAAACTTCTCTGATCATGCTTTCCAAAAATGGTTGTCAGTGTTTCAAAACGCAGAATCCCTTCTCTAAACAGAGTGTCACCCAGAACCAGTTACAGACCAGGTGGAAGTGGAGCTGCTGTTGGTTGGTGCAGGGGGAACGGAGGCCCTGGACGCCCGGAGGGTCCCTCGGGGTCTCAGGGGTTCCTCAGTGCTCAGTTTGAAAACCACTGGTCTACAGGCTGCATCAGATCCACGGGAAGGGTTGGTCAGAGGCAGGGAGGGCTGTGCTTAGACCAAGTTGAGGCAACTTGGGGATGGTTTGGACTCGAGGGACGGGGAGGGAGCGTCTAGAATCACTTCGGATCTTCTGGTCCGGGAAACGGAGAGGACAGCGGGGCCGCTGCCTGAGACACAGCCGCTGCTGGGAGGGAAGGGAGGACGCAGGGCCCTCATCTGCTCCTCTGGAAGTAAAACTCGAAGGGCGGTGACAGCGGCCGGCCAGCCAGCCGGGTGCCGAGCGGGGCTGAGCTAGGGGAGCGTCGCCAGGGACCTGGGTGAAGGTCTGTGTGTCGTCCACACGGCGGAGTTTGTCTGAAGCCTCAGTCATCAGTGTGGCTCTGCGCTGGGCACACGGACCGTCTGGGGGGGGCGGGGGATGGATGGGGGGGGGGGGGGGATGGATGGATGGATGGATGGGAGGGAGGAAGGATGGAAGGGAGGGAGGAGGGATGGAAGGGAGGGAGGAAGCCTGCAGTGGTGGCGCTAAGGAGAGCATTCATGTCCCGGACGTCTCATCCGTGGGCCGAGGGGGACATCTTTTCACATGGACAGCCAACATTGTCTTGGCCTTACGTAAGGTGGGAGGCAGTGTTACTTCAGGGCGAGACCCCTCTTCCAGCCTCCGCCCCCCAGCCGCTGACCCGTCCTCCGGCGGAGGGTGGGGGCCTCTGTCTGCTCGCCGTGAAGCAGGAATCCTGACGGCTCCACGCTGCAGAGCCGCCCTGCGGCTTAGACGGGGCTGTGCTGCTGAGTCTGGCTCGGTCGGCGGGAGGGGGCGGGGCAGGGGCAGCCCCTGGAGCCAGGCCCCGGCTGGGCTGGCACGGAGCTCCGCGAAGGAGCGCTGGGCTGCGGGAGGAGGGGGGCGCCTGCTCTCCGTGCTCCGAGGCCCCGTGCCTGCGCCGGTGTGAGATCAGCTCCTGCTGAGAAGTCCTCCGAGCTGCTCGGAGAGCAGCGATTTGCTGCGCACAGGTGTCTGACTGCAGGAAGTGGTAGTCCCTCCCCAGGAGCCCTAGGCGAGCGCTCCGTTCCCCCTGCTGGGAAGTTCTGGGCTCCCCCCGCCCCGGGAATCTCCTGTCGCCCTAGACCGGCCAGTGAGCCAGGGCTGGGTGCTGGGAGCTGCTCCCCAGACAGTCCCGGGTGCCCGGGGATTCAGCCGCAGCCCCAGAATGCCCGCTCCTCGCCGCCGCCCGGGCCCGCGGACAGGCGGAGGTCTCTGCGGTCACGGGTCCCTTCCGTGTTTCAGGCTGAGGCCCTTCACCTCCTACAAGCTGCGCCTGAAGGCCACCAATGACATTGGGGACAGTGACTTCAGCGCGGAGACAGAGGCGGTAACCACGCTGCAGGACGGTGAGCAAGGGGCCCACTTCCCGCTGCCGCCTTTGCGCCCCGGAACCCCGGCTCCTAGAGAGACCCACTCTCGTCTTGAGCCAGGAAGGGGAGTGGGGGGAGTGGCCGTGGGCAGTGGAGCTCAACTAGCAGCAGAAGCTGGGCGCTCCCGTACAGCCCAGGGCCATAAATCAAGACTTCAAGGGCTTCCAAAGGGAGGAGGTTTCTTTGATTGGCTTCCAAACCCCGACCATCCATTAGCATCCCTGAGACTGACTAATTTATAGGGTCATTAAAGATAGATGTCGTGGGGTAGCTGTGTTTTAAGAGGTTTTCCCCATTTTTCTCATTCACGAGCCACCCAGTTTTGTCACTTGACAAAAGCCCAGTTGAGTGATGGAAGTGAGACCCCCTAACAGCTCCAGGTGACTTTTCACCCGCCCTGTCCTGCTCAGAGGAATTGGGCCCGGAGATCCGTTGTGAGTTTGTTTGGCAATCGGTGATCAAAGCAGGCTCGGAGGGAGCTGGGAGACGGTGTCCTCAAGTCCGCCCAGCGGACAGGCAGGTGCTTGGGTAGGAAGGGAATGCTGCTGCGTAGCAGTGCTGGGCTCTGATCCCGGACTGCAGACCCCAACCCTTAGCCCGCCCAGCGGTGCTTTACGATAATCCCCAGACCTGCCCCGAGCACCCTCTCCCCCAGTTAACGCAGCAGGGGAGCGAGGCTCAAACCAGCCCACGTCCGCCTGCTCGCCCCGGGACCCCCCCACCTTCAGCTCTGCTCTTTCTGTAACCTGGGAGGGCGGCTTCTCCAACACCAGGCCGCCAGTGACCTGAAGGACCAGCTAAGGGGTTCCGGGGACCCTTCTAGCTCTTCAGGGTCACGCAGAGACTATTTGCAACAGAGCAGAAGCCACCAGGGACCCCTGGTGGTCCTGACCGGGGACATGCCGGCGAGCTCATGGGAAGCTGCAGTCCCAGCTGAGCTCCCGGGGAGGAGGGGCGTGACCTGGCCCTGGAGAAACTGAGGTTGTCTTTTGTGGCTCCCACTTTAATCCCACGTTTAACACAACCAAGGTTCCACTTCAGCTAAGCACTGATTGTTAGAAGAAAGAAAATGCAGCACGCTGGTTTTGGGGGGAGTCTCTGAGAAGGACTGAGGAAGCAGGACGCCTCCCCCAGCCTCCCTCCGCCCCTCACGGGCTCAGTCAGAAGAGGGCCTCTCTCACCCCTTTCATATTTAGATCACTCCTTTGGATGCGTTTATCGTGTCATCTTCCTTTTCAGAGATCTGTGATCTCTCTTTGCCCTGGAACAGCCTTGTGTTGTCATTGCATCGTCTCAAAGTCCAGCTCTCGGCAGAGGCCAACTCCAGGGGTGGGCAGCCTTGTGCTGGGGGCGGGGCTTGGGAGCCTGTGGATGGCTTGCTAATAAACGTTTCCTTATAACAGTGTTTAGGGTACTGAGACCACCCCGTAATAGTAATCCTGTGTGATCAGGAAAGCTGGACCAGGGTCTTAAGACAGAACAGCAGGAGGTCGGAGGGCGAGGGTGGAGAGCTGTCCCTGGGCGGGACGGGGAGGCCTGACAGGTGCAGGGGAGACTCACAGAGCAGAGACCCGGGGCCGTGTCGTGTCGGGACAGCGTGCCAGACACACCCTGGGGCGGGGCGGGGCGGGGAGAACTCCTCAGTCATTCTGCTCAAAGCCCACTTCTGAACCTTAACTGTGTGTCGGGTGTCAGGATGTCACAGTGGGGCAGCCGTAAGGAGGCCAGTCCGACTGCTGAGACAGGGCCGCACAAGCCCAGCGGGAGCAGAGGTGGGGAAGGGCTGTCAGGAAGGCCTGCTGGCATGGCAGGCACTCCAGAGAGCAGGGCGGGGCTGTGGGCAGGGGTCAAACCGACCTTGTCCCCCAGGGAGTAGAGCAGAGCCACCACCGAGACCCAGACCAGGGCAGGCGTCCCTCCGGCCCCCAGAAGCCAGCCTCCGTCCCTGACAGTCACGTCCGTGTTTAAAGCCAAGGGCACCGTGGCCTGGCTTGATCACTCATCCTGTTCAGGAGTCGCTCTGACCTGAGTACCTCAAAACACTGATGCTCCCCCTCTGGGGGAGGGGAGGCCCCTGGGGAGATCTGGGAAGCGCAGGGGCTCTGCGGGCACCTCCTCTGGTGTGAGCAGCTCCCCGTGGAGAGACCCAGACTCGCGTGTCTGTCTTGGGGGTCCGCCTGGGGGGGAAGGTCAGGGACGTGAGCTGTGATCGCCCGACCAGGATTAGGTTCCTTGTCTCCTGGACACAGGCTGGCGGGTGGAGGCAGGGCATCCCCAGGAAAGAGGGGGGCTGGATGCTGGCTGGCCAGCTTTCCCTGGCTCTCGGGGGCTGGGCCCGGCCCTGCCTCCTGACTGGGGCGGGAGAGAGCTGTGCCCCAAGCAGCCGCGGGGCACAGGCAGAGCCGCCTAATCCTTGCCTTCTTTCTCGTGTTGCAGTTCCGGGAGAGCCTCCGAGCTCTGTCTCTGTGACGCCGCACACCACCTCGTCTGTTCTGATCCAGTGGCAGGTAAGGGCCCCAGCACCCCACGGTGTTTGGTAAAACCGTTCATGCGACCGTGTGGTCAGCCGGCACCTGCCGGGTCCCGGATCGGGGTGGAGTGGGACAAAGGGGACACGCCAGTCGGGCTTGCACACTGTGCGGGGACATGGTGAGTGTAACTTCCAAGACGGGAAATGCAGGACTGTCGTGGCAGGCGTAATGGACTCGTGCCCAGCACACTGAGGGGACCAGCAGGATGGCAAGGGGGGTGCCCAGAGCGCAGATGGACTGAGCTTTGGAGAAGGATGCAGACGGAGCAAGGCTTCTGTGGCAAGACTGGTTCGCGTCCTACTGGGTTATCGATGGTACAGGAATTATTTCCAACCAGACAAAACATCAACAGGATGACATGAATCTTTGTTAGTTCCAGGTCTTTAGTCAAACCAAGGAACCTTCTCCTAAATAATCAGATAGCCCTTGGTGAGCTGTTAGCAGTGCTCTAATACGACATTGAAAGGACCTGCTGCCCTCTCTGCCTTACTTCCACTTCTGGATCATTTTTGCCAACAGTGAGGTGCCTTGAGGGCAGAAATAATGAGGGGCAGAACCGCCAAGGAAGGCTGCCCTGCCCGAGGGCGAGCCCAGCGGAGGGCGAGGTATCCAGCCAGGGCATGGGGGGCTAATTCAGGAGCAGGGCTGGAGCTGGGCCGGGCAGGCGCGCAGACCCGTGGGCAGGGGCCAAGGGCAGTGATGAGCGTGGGCACAGCATCTGGCCAACAAGGGAAGTTCCTGAGTCCAGAATGGGGGCTGCCGTCCTGGGCGGGGGCAGTGCCTACAGCCAGCAGGCCGTGGCGAGGGCAGACAGAGGGCAGGCGCTGTGGTCTGGGTTCAGAGCCACGGGGAGCTGAGGTCTGCCTGGGAGTGGCCTCTGTGGGCTGGGGGTCCAGGGAGTGGTCTGTGCGGGCATGAGAGGCTCCCTCCGGGTCGACGATAATCGTCCAGGTAATGCCGGAATCACACCCAGAACCAGCGGGAACCAAGCACAAATGATGGTCTGGACGTGGCCTTGGAGAGTGGGGAGGGCTTATCCTGGCCGGGGGCACTGCGCCGCCACGGGAAGAAAGGGCGGGACAGAAAGGGGCAGGGAGCCCCGGGAGAGGACCAGGGAGCCCCAGGAGAGGACCAGGGAGCCCCGGGAGGGGACCAGGAGCCCCGGGAGAGGACCGGGGCCTGGGCTCGGCCTGCAGGCCCCAGTGTGTCATGGCGTGACTCTGATCCCCGAGGCCTCTCGGGCTCCAGTTTCCTCCTGCATAAAAACAGGAGGTCAAAGGTGACCTCTGACGTCACCGCAAGGTCTCCGGTCCAAGGCCCGTTAGACCTCCACAGCCCTGACTTCCATCAGGGTCCCAGGCACTTGTGTTTCCCGCCCTCCACTACCGTGATCCACCGAGAGCAGGTAGGTCCCTCGGGCTGTGCTGGACCCGGCCAGGTCTGTGCTTTGTCTGTAGGCGTGGGGCCTCTCTGTCCAGGGACTAGGTGGGCTTTTCTGCGAAGGCGGCGGCTCGGGGCTATGTCACCTCATTGCCTCCGAACACGTGGCTGTGGACGAGGTGCTGGCTGTCAGCCCGGCCATCCCGCCTCTGGCCACTGGGCCGCAAGCCCTCAGTTGCGGTTAGAACACTCTGTGGAGTGGCGAGAGCCGCACCAAAGGCACTCGGCACGTGTGTGTGTCCGCTGTCCCCCTGCAGACCCCAGCAGAACAAACTAATGCCAGGAAGCCTGCACAGGAGGTGGTCAGTATGATGCACTGTGGAAATAACTGCCCGTCAACTGCTGGGCAATTGAAGTATAATTAAAATTACGAGTAATTCACCAAATCAGAGTGAGCAGAACAAAGGAACTACGGTTAAATATAGATTTGCATTCCAAATGAAATGTTTCACCTGTAAACTTTTTTGTTTTTGTAATTTGTTTAAAAATGCAAACACTGCCTGTAATTTCAAGGCCGTTGACCCATTTGAATGGGCTTGTCTGTCAGATTTCATTCCCCTTAGTAGGATGATCAAACTGTGCCTTTCACGGGTCCAGCGCTGTTTGGAATCTAAGGATTTGCATGTATGCTCTAGACAGTGGTGGCTTTGTGTCCACACTGAGTGCAGCTCATACTGGGCATTCACGTCTCTGAATTGATCCCAATGTTTAAGCTGGCTCTTCTGAAACCTCCAGCGGGTCACACAGTCTGTCACCCAAAGGCGTTTCCCCTCGTGTGGCTGCAGTGGATCAAAGAAAACGTCCTAAGGGACAGATCCCATCATGCACGATGGACTCGGGGGAGGGGGACTCAGCGCTGTACGGGACGCCTCCCTAAGAGGAGTGCTGCAGCTGCCTGGGCAGAGGGGGCAGGGCGGCGGGGCCTCTTCAGGACAGCCCTTGGCCTTCGTTGCTTTCCTCACCACGCGCTCTGTTGTCTGCAGAGGACCAGCTCCCGCTTGGAGGGCTGAGCGCCTCGAGGTGAGCAGGACACATTCCATTTAGTGCATTGAGCTCTACATGCCTTAGTGCGAAGCCAGCAGAGGGGAACAGCTGACTCGGGCCAGAGGGAGGTGGGAGGTGACAGGATGAGCGGTCCTCCTGATCTCAGGGGGCCTCGGCCTGCGGCGGCCTGAAGCAGCATTTCAGTTCCCCGGCCAGAGATTGAAGTCAGGTTGCAACAGTGAGAGTCCTGAATCCTATAGCCACTAGACCAGTGGCCAGGGACAAGGCCCTGGCCCGTCGGCTTTATAGAAATGAATCCCACAAAGAGATGGAAAGTTGTGAAACAAGTGAAGTGTTTATTAGGAGGAAAAAGGATATGTGTGAATAGACCCACACGGGTGGACTCAGAGAGAGAGTTGCGCCCTCGTGGTAGTTTGAATCACTTATATGGGGCATTTCTTCCGGGTTTCCTTCAGCCAGTCATCTTGCTTTGCCTGGTTCTGGGTCCGTGTTTGGTTTATCTCGGAGTCCTCCCACGTGTGCACGCGCATCTCTTAGCCAAGATGGATTCTAGTGAAGAGGCCTCTGGGAGGGTTGACATCACCTACTGTGGGGTGGCACCCCGTCCCTTTTGACCTCCGAGGGGCCTTTCTGCACATGTGTAGTCGGGGCAGGTCTCCTTGACCTCAAGAATGAGAACTACGTGGTCTCTTTATCTTTTATCTGGGCAGGGCTCAGCTTCTCTCTGCCCTTGTCCCCCCACAGGGGACACACGCCAGCTGCTCAGCCTGGGGCCCATCTATCTCCTGCCTCACTCCCCCAGTAAAAGGCGGGGAGACGACTGTACAAGCATCACGCACAGCCAGAGCAAAGGCTGCTGGGCTTTGGTGCTACGTTTCGAGGGAAGGCACGACGGAGCCGGGTTCTCTAGGGCCTCCTGTGCTCCGCTGCACCATCGGGACTTAATCCCACAGGCGTCAGAGGGCATCCCTGTTCTGTGCTCCAGGAAACAGAAGTCATGGGAAGTCATGGTCTCAGGCCTCAGGACGACAGCAGCTGAGTTCCAGCTCTGTCTCATACTCGCCGTGAGGCCTCAGACTCCATGTGGACCCTCCCCACCCCAGACCTGCCTGGTCTGGGAAAGCCCGCTACGCCGGCTCCAGCCCATCCCTGAGTGCTCGGCCAGGACTGAGGCTCGTGGTGGGAGTCCTGCCCCCTCCCCACCCGGGCCCTTCCCTCCGCTCAACGCTGCCGCCTACAAGACGCCCGCCCTCATCCTCCCGGCCGTCCCCAGCTCTTGGTTCCCTTCCCTTCCCACTCCATCTGCTGGAGTGGGCCGTCAAGGCCAGGGCACGCTGACCAGCTCATCTGTATTTTAACGGGGGCTTCGAAAACTGAAGAACTGCCCTGGACCCCCAGAAAGCCTGCTGGTAGAAGTTCTGACATGCAAAAGGCAGAGTGAAGGTGTTTTTAGAGGGGACCCCAGTCCCTTCAAGTGTCTGCCCGTGCAGATGGCTGATCCAGGATGAATCCAGCCAGAGGTGGTGTCGCCTTCACTTGAGCAAACCCAGCGCACCTCCACCAGCACTGACTAAGCACTGGCTGTGTCCCAGGCCTGGCAGAGCAGCTGCGGGAAGATAGAAGCGAACACAACACAGACAAGGCCCGGCCTCCACGGGCACGTGCTAAGTCAGACACCACAGGAACCGCGTCGTCAGGGCCAAGGGCTGGGAGAAAGGTCTGCACGTGCGAAGGGAGACTTCTGTTCAGAAACCCCCTAGAGACCACCTAGGCCGGCTTCCACATGTAGCAGGTACAGGGTTGAGCCCCAGAGGTTGGGCACCAGCCTGAGCCTGCCCTGCAAGGCCATCGCAGAGCCAGGACTTGAACTGGTCCCACTGCTTCTGGAACTCTCTCTGGGTCATGTGGAGCTGCCCTACCGGGACCTCCCAGGACACCCAGAGTCGCAGAGGCCTCTCACCAATGACAGATGGTTTATTCCAAGCTCGAGGAATAGCAAGTGTGGTTGCACCCTGTTCAGGATCCCGCGAAGGCAGGCAGGCCTTGTGCGTCGCCATGGGTCGCGAGAGCCTCACTAGTGAGGCCTTCAGAGAGGCCGCCCTCCAGGCTGTGCGACCACCTCCCCTCCTCCCCGGGCTGGTACGGCTCCTGCTGGGAGGGGGCGCGGTTTCTGGTGCGGCCAGATGTGGACCTGCCCGCAGCTGCAGCAGGTGTGCCTGGGACTTGGGGCTCGGCCTCTCCTCACACCCCTGCCGCATCTTCTCCTCCTCGGCTGGAAGGGTTTGAGCCTGGGATTGGCAGCCTCCGTCCCTTCCCCCGTCCCCCGCACCACCCCCCCCAGGTGTGGACGCAGGCTGGGGACCGGGTGTTTGCCGCTGGTTCCAGAGCCACGTTTGGTCCCCAGGGAGGACGTTGTTATTTTCGCAAACTCCCAGCATCCTGCCTGTTTGATATTTTGGGTGAGTTGAATCCAGTCCTTCCCATTCCTCCCAAGCTTCCCACTCCCTGAAAGTCAGGTGGGCGGAGCCTGGACAGGCTCCTCAAGGAGACGTGCTCGGGGCCATTGGCGGCTCTGCCGCGGCCCTCCTGGTGGCTCTCTGCCCCTGAGCTCACACTGGGGTCTGTCGCCCCTCAGCCAGGAGGACTGTCGTTTGATTGGATTTGCTGGGCTCCTCCAACAAGATGGACACGCGTGGCGAGTCCACTCAAGTTTCCCAGGCACGCGTGTCTGCGTCTGATGGGGAAAATGACCTGCCGAGGTGCTTGTCATGAGGCGAGGGCGTCACCGAGGACCCGGGAGGCACCGTGAGGATCAGGGCTGCAGCAGAGCCGCAGTGCAGCGCCCGGGCTCGAGGGAGCATGCGGCAGCTCTCGCTGGTGACAACGTGGTGACTCTGGCACGTGAGCGAGCGTGTGCAGGGCCCCCTGTGTCTCGGGAACTACCCTTGCTGTCTGCGCTGTCCTGCTGGAGAGTTTGGGGAGCAGAGGAGCCTGCACTGTCCACATCCGCTTGGTTCCTGGGTTTGGGACTGAGTAGCAAGAAGTCACAGAGAAACAGACTCATCCGAACATCCAGGTCCTCGTGGCGCCTGGGTTCAGGGACCAGGATTGAAGGGTGAGCGTTTGGACAGCAAAGCAGGCGGGTGTCCTGGGGCTGCCGTGACAGGTCACCGCAAACTGGGCGCCTTAGCACGACAGGGATCTACGCTCCCACAGTTCTGAAGGCCAGAGTCCAAGATCAAGGTGTCAGTTAACTCTGAAGACACAGGGAGGCACCCTCCCTGCTCTCCCCAGCTTCTGGTGGCCACGGCAGTCCTTGGTGCTCCTTGGCTTCTAGACGCGTCCCTCCAACTTCTGCCTGTGCCTCCACATGACGGCCTCCCTGTGTCCAAATGTCCTCATCTTATGAGAATCTCTGGGTCTCTTTATAGTCTCAGCATTTGTCAGATAATTGCTAGATTGCATATTGCCTCTTAAAATGTGCTTTGTCTTCGTGGAGCCATCACGCTGAACGTTTAGGGGCCTGTGCGAATTAGGTATTATAACACCCGACGGCGTTCACGAGTCCTAAGTCTGCGATTACGTTTGCAAGCAATTTTGCTGTCCGTGCCCTTCAGGCTGGAAGGTCGTCCTGTTGTCTTCGTGTCGTTGGAAAGACCCAGAGAGGATTGGTTTAGGCGTCGGGTTTTTTTTTTGGGGGGGGGGGGGGGGGGGTTAGTCCCGAGCTTGTATTTGTGGGACTCAGGACTGCACACCTGCAAATGTTTGTGTAGCATCGATTTCCAGACGTGTGCCTGTAACTGCTGGGTTAAAAGGCAAGTGCATTAAAGACTTAGACAAATAAAACGGGGTTGCCTCCAAGAAGCCGGTCGTTTCCTCAGGGCCTCCCTACCGCTGTGTGACCGCTTCCTAACTTGACTACATCTGCAGAGACCCTGTTTCCAGACAAGGTCTCACGTCCACAGGTACCCGGGGTTAGGATGTCAGCATATCTCTTGGGGGGACACAGTCCAACCAACAACAGAGGGGCTTTCCTGCCAAAGCCGTGGCCTCCATTCAGGCACCAGGACGCTGTGTACCAAGGCGCAGTGGCATCACTTAGGCGGTGGCCTTGCTGAGTCACAGGAGTCCAGGGAGCGTCCCTGTCCCCGGGCAGGGCCTCGTGACCCCTCCAGCCAGGATCACGGGCGTGCTCTCGGCCCGTCTGTCTGGTCACAGTTTGGGAGGTTTGATCCTGTACTCGCTGAGGATCCCAGAGGGGAAACTGGACCCCGAAGCCCCTAAGCCAGGGCGGTGCTGCGGCCTCACTGGGATTCCGTGTGGAACGAGACGACCTTTCTTCTCCTGACAGATCTGTCAGCCACAGGGAAAGGGACAGCCGGCTGGGCCCTGCCTGACCAGATGCTGCACCCAGTGTGGGATTGCAGGGGTCCCGGGCTTACACTCACGGGGCTCGCATTCTCCCTCAAGCTAAGCCTCATCACCGAGCTACCCGTCACCTGGCTTCCACCGGGTTCTTAGGAGTCAGACGAGCCCCGCCGTCACGCGCTGACGCGGAAGAGGGAGGTGTGGGTTCCAGCCTGCGCCTGGGTCGGGCAGGGTAGGGGTGACCGGGCAGGCGGAGGGGTGAGTGAGGGTCCCAGTGAGACGGCCACAGCCTGGGTGGACAGAGGGACAGGGACTGAGGGGATGGGGTGAGGCCAGCGGCGGACGATGCAGAGCCAGGCCACATCCCCGGTTCCCTTCAGGTCCTGGGTTGGCCCGCTACGGGCAGCGTCCTCGCCCGTCTGTGACCTGGGCCATGGTCTCCGGCCTCAGCCCTGGGGCTCGGGGGTTTGGGCTGGACGTGGATGAGACGCCCGTGCCGCACTCCGGCACCAGGAGCCCCAGGGAAACAGCCGCACAGCAGGCTCTGTCCCCGAGTTCCCTCATCAGTGTGACACCTGCCTGTTTCCTCGCAAACAGCTGAGGGCCCTCCGTGTGGACTGGTGAATCCCTCCTCGCCAGGTGGCCACACGTGGATCCAGGTCCCCTGACTGTGGTGTCTTTGCAGCCCCCGAGGGACGAGAGCCTGAACGGCCTCCTGCAGGGTTACAGGATCTACTACCGGGAGCTAGAGTACGAGGCGGCCTCGGCCACTGAGTCCAAGACGCTCAAGACCCCCTCCGCTCTGCGGGCCGAGCTCACAGGTGAGCCCTCTCCTCCCCCTGCACGGGCCGGCAGCAGGGAGGTTCCTGTGACCACGGTGCATCCGCCCCCCAGGCCTGGGCCTCAGGGGCTGGAGGAGGTGCGGCTCTGCCCCCTCCCACCGCCGGTGTGCACGGCCCAGGGCGTGGCGAGGTGCCATGAGCAGAGGCCCCCGGCCGCTGGGGGACCGGGGAGGCTGCCCGGAGGAGGATCCATCTGCGGTGACTGTCGGGGTAAAAGGATGTTACTGAGGATGTGACGGGAAGTGAGGGACACAGGGCCCAGGACAGCTCGGTGCAGGTAGGCAAGCAGGGCGGCAGGGGCTCGGGTGGGCCAGGGGTCAGCCGGCCAGCGCAGGGCGTGTGCTGCGCGGGGCCGCCCCAAGTGGAGCAGGTTTGGGGTGTGCCGGGGCGGCTGCAGGGAGCCCCGGCTTCTGTCCCGGCTCATCTGTCTGCTCACCTGCACCCCGCCAGACCCCTCCGCGGACCCTGGCAGTCCTTCCACCAGCCGTTGAGGAAGCTCTGGAGCCGCTGGGCAGGCGCCGCACTCCCCGCTCCTCTCTTCCTGGCGTCCCACACGCTGTCAGAGGACATACTTGAGCCTTAACCCCTGCGCGCCGGCGTCGGGGCGGCCAGCCGGGGAGCCGGGGCCTGCTCTGCCGGGGCCTGCTCGGGCCCCGCGTCTCGGCGAGGCTCACGCGTGCTATGGGCAGCTCCCGTGCTCCCTCCCCAGCCCACCTTCTGGGGCCTCGGGGCTGCAGCTCGGCCCCGGCCCCGCCAGGAGGACTGGCTCAGTCGTGAGCCCCAGTCTCAGCGTCACCCTGGGTGTCCCTTGCTGATGTCCAGACCGCAGCGAGCGTCTCCCTGGGCTGTGTCACAAAATCACATCCGTGGAATGAGAGGGTGCGGTGGGGTCTGCTCGTCCCCTTCAGCCCGGGGCTCTGAGCGCAGGTAGCCCGAAGAGGCGTTGCCCGGGAGACGCCGACCTCCATCTCCCCCTGTGCTGCTTCCGCTACCTCGCGCCAGATGCGAACTTGACCCGTTTAACCTGAGGGGTGAGCACACGCCACCCCCTCGCGGGCCGGGGGGCCTGGCAGGTTCTCCAGGCAGCGCAGGTGCCCCGGCGAGCGGACCCCACCACGCGGGGGGTGGAGAGACTTCCCGGCCAGGCAGCCCGTCACGCGAGAGCTGCTCCCTGTGCGCTGACCGCCTTTCTGCTCTGCTTGCCCCTAACAGCCCAGAGCAGCTTCCAGAGCGTGAACAGCAGCTCCGCGTTAACGACATACGAGCTAATACGTAAGTGGCAGCGCCCTCAGCGGGAGCCGTGTGGCGGCGTGACCGCGAGCCGCCAGGCAGCGCCGCGTGGCCTCTCAGGGGCCCCGTGGAAGCAGCTTGGATTCGAGGCTCTCGTTTCTGGGGTTCCCCCTCAAACGCTGCTTCGCCGTATGCCGGAACCACCAGGGAGACAGGAAAGGAAACTTCTAGAAGCAGAGGCTGGGAGTGCGGGGTACCGGCAGCTGGTCTTCGAGTGTGGGACAGGAGGAAAGGCAGAGTGGGCAGATCTCCTCTCTGGCTCCTTGGACGTAGTTTTCAAGCCCCTTTCTTGTTGTGGTAAAATACACGTAGCCCACGATTGCCGTCGTCACCACTTTTAAGGGTCCGGTTCAGGGGCGTTAAGCGCATTCACACTGTTGGGCAACCCTCCCCACCGTCCGCCTCCAGAACTTTCTCATCTTCCCAGACTGAGACTCTGTCCCCGTGAAACACGGACGCCCCGTCCCCTCCCCCAGCCCTGGCCCCCACCCCCCACTTTCCATCTCTGTGACCCTGGCTCCTCCGGGGGGACCTCACAGAAGTGGAATCGCACAGCGTTGGTCCCTCTGTGCCTGCTGGGTTCGCTTCTAGTTTCATCCGTGCTGTAGCGTCGGGGTCTCCTTCCTTCTCAAGGCTGAGGGACCGTCCACCGCATGCACACACCCCATTTATTTATCCACCAGTCCTCCATTCCTCTTTAACCAAACTGCTTCCCCTCGGATTCCTGTCTGGGGATGGGTTTCAGCAACCAAGTGCAAGGCTAAGGGGCCCCAATGCGATTCACTCCAGCACAGAGAAGTGGCTGGATTAGAAAGAGGATAAGTGGGGGAGGGGGAGCCGGCCCTCCCCCGGCCCCAGGTGTGCGGGCACTGGCTGCCAGCCCATGCTCTTTCATCCCGCCACCACCTGACCAACCTGGCAGCCGGGGCGGGGCTCACAGAGCTGTCCCACCTCCCCAGCGTCACCTCGTCCGTCCATCCGTCGTGTGCTCGCTCACCCCCCCACCCATCGCTCCCTGGTTGTTTCTTTGTCTCTCCGCCAAGTCCCTCCTGGGCCGGGTGCTCCCCCAGATGTGACCTCCCCGAGCAGCCAGATGAAGCGTCCAGCGCAGGCCCGGCCCCAGTGAGGAGGGCTCCCTCCCGGGGTCTCGTCCAGGCCCTCCAATCGTGGTTATGCAGTGCGGGAGGGGCGGCCCCGACCACGCAGCAGCGTCCACTCTGGTGTGTCTCCGTGGATTCCTGGGCCACACGAGTCCCGGGGTTGAGATGAAGCCACGTTGTTTGTCTGACAGCACGGCTGGACCACGTGGACAGAACCTTGACCATGAAATGTACACATATCGGCAAACAGAGGCCTTTGAGGTGTTAATGGCCGTGTCCTGGGAAGAAAATGACATGTGAATCCAGGCCCCGTAGCCAGGCACGAGCTCTGTACTAGCCAACGTGGTGAGAGCAGCTGACCTCTAAGCCAAAACATTCTGGAAGGTTCTCCCCGTTGCGTGGCTTTCCCGAGGCCCCAGGTGCGTGCCGGACCACCTGGGTGCATGGTTCCTGCAAATCGTGCCTCCCAGCGAGCGGCTAGCTCAGCAGAGGTGCCGCGGATCCGACCTCCAGGCCCTCCCTTGAAGGTGGTCAAGGTTCTGCCTGCCCTACTGGGCCAGGGTCTCACTCCGTCGGTTCCTACGCTTACGGAGAGATTCTGGACCAAAAGGCAAGCCCGGGTCAGGCCCTGTATCCTAGCTTCTTTCCCTCAGAAGACGAGCCTGCTGCCGCCTTCCCCTGAGTGCAGGATGGGTTGCGTCTTTGCCTCACGAGTGTCACTAATGCCGGGACAGAGGGTGGCAGGCCCCTCGCAGACCTCTCTCTGCAAGAAAGAGCTCTTCCCCCGCGTCTTCTCAAGGGGCACTGGTCCCTCAGCGTGGCTCATGGAGGGAGTTTTCTAAGAAAGGGAGGGGTCCCGCCAGCTGACCCCTGTCCCCTGGCCCTTGCAGATCTGAAGAAATACCGGCGCTATGAAGTGGTCATGACAGCCTACAACGTCATCGGCGAGAGCCCGGCCAGCGCGCCCGTGGAGGTCTTCGTCGGCGAGGCCGGTAGGTCCCGCGTTTCCACCCCCAGCCCGGAGCTCAGGCGCCAGCAGCGTCCCCCTCGATGAAGGTCATTTTGCTGGTGGGGCAGGAGGCTTCCGGTCGTGGCTGGAAAGAGGCCGAGGGCTGGGTGTCCCGACGGGGGCAGCGGCCAGGTCTTGCTTTTGATATTCAGGGTGTTTAACGTCTGGATTTATCAGGACCTGCTCTAGGGGAGCGATGCTGTCGCCTCCGTGGGAACCTAGGTGTGCGGGAACCTCCGTGTGTGGAGGGGGGATGTTTGTCAGCTGCCGTCTCTGGCTGGGCCGGGCAGTGGCCCCGGCACTGAGTCAGCCCGACCGTCTGTAACAGGCCCTTCCCAGGTCTCGAAAAGCCACGTGGATCCATGTTTGTACCCCTTTTAGGTGAGAGGTGGCCCTGGGTATGTTTCAAGGACCGTCCCTTCTGTGGGGCTAACCCACAGGGAGACGTCGTGTCCTGTGTGGAGGCCTTGCTGCGAGCTGTGCCGCCTGCCCTCTGGCCCACAGGGCGACCCCTCCCCCCCGACGCCCACCGCCCCGCCGACGGCCGTCTCCTCTGAGCCTGACAGCTGGCCTGAGGGCTCTGCTCAGATCTGCTGGTGCGGAGTTGGGAGGGTGAAGGATTCTTGGAATCCCTCTGTGGACAGAGACCCAGGCTTGCCGGAGGACAGAGGGGTTCTGGTCACTCGGCCGGTGCACAGAACACATCAGGTGACCTTTTGCTATTTGGAGAGGTTATGGTCGTAAACCAATCAGCACTGAGGGCCTAACTCAGCAGGATTTTTCTGGAACGTCCCACAGTATTTTCGTGTGAGCGAGGATAACCAAGTGCGCCACCAGGAGGTCGCGTCGGCCTCTACACAAAAGTCTGTCTGGGGGGAGGTGGAGGTTCCTTGGAGCAGGTGGGGCAGGGGCCAAGCGTTCCAGGAGGACATGGGCCTGGCCACAGAAGAGCCCACGCGGGCAGACGGGGGACGTGGCAGGGAGGGGACATTTCAGGGAGGGGACGTGGCGCGTGCCATCCGTCAGAGCAGGAGCTCTGGGACCTCGCTGGGCATCAGTGAGGGCCTTCGTACCGCTGGGTTGAGGGGCGCACGGCCGGCCAGCTGCGACCTGCAGAGCTGACCCGCCCACCGCCAGCCTGCACTCCAGGGAAAGGACCCAGCCTGCGGGGGCCCAGGCACTCCGGACAGGGCCTCAGGCCCAGGACCAGAGCAGACGTCCAGAGAACAGGGCTGGAGCCCGGGCGGGAGACCCGGCCGGCACTGGGGCCGCAGCCAGCCAGCGGGCGACCGTGGGGTGTGCGCAGTTCATGGGTCTCGTTTGTTGTTTGTTTGTTTTGTGGTAAAGCACAGTTAACGTGAAACGTGCCGACCTCATCACTGGCAAGCGTCCAGCTCAGGGGCGTGAAGCACATTCACCTGTTGTGCGGCCACTGCCCGCCGTCTCCTCTGGGGTCCTTCATCTTCCCAAACAGGAGCCCCTCGCCCGTCAGCAGACCCTTCCCTCTCCCCTCCCCCCCGCCCCGGACGGCCTCTAATTTACTTTCTGTCTGTGAATTTGCCTAGTCTAGGTACTTCCTAGGCATGGACTCCCCACATTCGTCCTTTGCACCCGCCTCCTCTCACTCAGCGTGTTTTCTTGGTTCATCCGTGTTGGAGCAGGTGTCAGACTCTGTTTCTTCTCATGCAGTAGGCATGTTCACTGTGGGCAGACACCCCATTTTCTTTACCTATGGGCCCATCAGTGGACACCTGGGTTGTTTCCACCTCTCGGGTTTGTGGTGGAGCCGCTGTGAACGCGGGTGGACCAGGTGTTTTTCCCAAGTGCTGAGCTGAGGCTGAGCCCGTGTGGCCTGGCCGTGATGCAGGGTGCTGGCCGCTCCCGCCCCCTCCACGGGGGCCCCTCTGCCAACACACACCTGCCCCCATGCGGACTCTCCCGGGGCGGGGGGGTCGCAGAGAGGGATGGAAGGAGGCTGTCCATCGGCTCTGCCACCGCGGCGTGGGCGGCAGCCTCCAAACAGACTCCATCAGGAACACGGAAAGCAGGGGCCAGGGCACAGAGGCGGATGTTCCGCCCTCAGCGCGTTGCTCTGCCGTCTGTGTTTACGCTGCAGAGAATGTTCTGAAAGGAGGATGCCAGTACTTCCAGCGTGGCTGCCAGTTACCCTTTGCCCTCCCAGTCTCCGCCTCTCACAGCCCAAGGGCCCCTTATAATGGTTTCGTTCCGATGCCTAGCAGTGCTGCTAACCAGGCCTGCAGAAAATAAAGTTCACTGGGGCCAATTTCCACTCACCTGGCCAGACGCTTCATCATGTCGCAGACTGGTCGGCATGAAACACTCAGACTTGTGTGAAAACAGCCTGGAAACAACACGGTTTCCCGAGTTAGGCCGCCCTGAGCATCTGAGTGTCGGCTCGGCCGGTTTCCGGCTGTGGGATGTGGGGCCAGTTACTTCACCTCTCTGAGCCCTGGCCCTGAGGACCGTGGTGCAGAGGGGAAAGCTTTGGGCTAGGAGTGAGGAGACTGGGGTCCTTGTCCCAACTCTGCCCCCAACTTGCCTGTCCCACCTGCAGGATAAATGTCTAGGACGTGCCTGGACTGGCCAGTCAGGAAGTGGTGAGTGAATGACTGAGACCCTGTGTGGTTACTGGACTGGTCTGGCCCATCTACAGAACAATGAGAGGTTGAGAGTTAATGATCTTTGGGTCCCCTCCAGTCCAAATATGTAATATTTAAATCCTTTTAACCTCAGAGAGAAAGCGTAACCTTTAGGAAATTTCTCATTGAGATTGATTTCTGAGTCCAGGCATTTCAAATTGGTAAAAATAATACATTAGAAAGAACTCCATTTTGCAAGAGATAGAAACCCAAACAGCTTAAACTGAGAGAATCAATGATCAATTCACATAACAGAAGAGTTGAAGAGCCTGGGTACAGCTTCAGGCATGGCTGGATCCAGCACCCTAACAGGTGGGTCCCACGTCCCCTCTGGTTGCACTGTCCTCTCAGCTCACTCCTGTCTGGGGCGGGCTCTTCATCAAGGAGGCCCTGGAGCTTCAGGCGGCAGAAAGAGAGTTTCCTTTTTCTACGGTGCCTCCAGTGGCAGTCCACGGGCCCCCGTTAGCCTGCCTTACGCGCCCATCTGCTGCAGCCGATGGCCTGAGGTCCCAAAGCCAGGGGGTTATATCATCTCTACCTGGACCACATGGACCGAATGGGAGGAAGGCTCCCCAGATCCCCAGGGCAGATCTGGATGCTGCTGCCAGAAGGGGACTGGGTGTTTGCTCAGCTGTCAGTGCGGCACTCATGGCAGAGTTTTCCAAGGGGCCAGAGCTGCTTCCGGGAGATGTGTCTGTGGGTTCCTCAGCAGGACTGCTGTGCCGGTCACCCCCGCCCCCGCCCCTGTGAAACCTCCAGGCCCAGCTCTGTGTTCTCGGGGTTCTACAGCTGAAAGGAGCCCATATCCTGGCCTTCAGGACACTTACTACTGGAGGACAGGCCCCACCTTCCGGATAAGGCTGCCCTCCTGCCTGGGACACGTCTGTGGTTCCAGACCTCCCAGGCTGCTCCCCCGGAACATACGCCATCCCACCCACACCGCGCTGCATCTGCCCGGAACCCCTGCTCTTCACTCCAGTCCCTGGAAGACCCTCCAATCTTCCGCTCAGCCCACCTTCAAGGCCAGCCCCTCAAGGCCTGGCCGCCCTGTCCCCGGCCTGGGCAGAACTAGGGACCCCTCTGCTCCGGAACACGCCACCCGTTCTGCTCTCTGCACCTCCTGTCTGTGATGCAAAGACGCCTCTGATTCACTCCAGTGTCCAGGGTGCTCGGGGCTTTCTGGTTGCCTGGAGCACTGCAAACACTGTAATGTTGGGGGAGTGAAGGTGGGGGAGAGCAGATTTGGACAGGAAGGAGGGGAGCCACGCAGCCTGCCCGACCCCCCGGGGCCCGGGGAGGGGAGACCCCTGAGGGAGGAGACCCCCAGGGCCCGGGGAGGTGAGGGGAGACCCCAGA